TTGACGCCAAAGAGTATTCTGTAGAATGTTCCGGCTGTTGAATAAAAAATACCGTTGGCATAGTTTCGCGCAGCAAAGGCTGAGTCGATGGGGACAAAATAATGGTGGAAATCGATCCGGGTCATAAATACACCTGCTAAGTGCATGTGTTAGTGCACGAAAGAAGTTTGAATGCGCACAACGCCGGCGGCCTGATTCGATGAATTCTGATGCTGTGAAGATACTGCTAACGAGAAAAGGCATGAAAAGGATAATACATGAGACATGCTTTAGCTCAGAAAGGAATATTAGCATCGTTCTCACCTCTTTTTCTTCATCGATCGCTCTTTTTGATAGCACATTCTGTACTGATAGAGCTGAATGCTTTGTCGTCAGTTCTTGTGGAAAATGTGGCCGATGGGAACTATGTGGTACCAAACGCCGATAGTTCGGCAGACAGAACAGTTTTGTTTCGGTACATGTGTTGATCAAGACATACATGGGACGGACGAACATTATATTGCCCAAGTTTTTCACAGTCTTTCCTTGGATGGCATTTTTTAAACCTAACTGTTATGGTCTGAACTTCGTTGGCGAATAAGCGCTTTGGGGGTGACATAGGTTGCCCCCAAAGCGCTCATGTGCGTCGTTGGCGTGTGCAAGGTTGACATCCTACCCCAGGACCAGTGTAGTGAAAGCAAGGAACTATGGAAGAGAAATTTTATCAGTGAGGAAAGCAAACGAACGGACGTAGGCAGCGATGGAGCGAAAGATGCCTGAAGTGTCGGTAGTTGCCTTTAGACTTTGCGCTGGGTGTTTGGCATGCAGGTTATTGTTGCAAGCGTGTGCTGCCTTAAAAGACAGACACGCGGTTCCGAAGCTAAAATTCAGCAGACTTTCCTGCTTGTTGGCGGCGGATATTGCGCATTAGTGGTGCTAATGAGGAAGTAAACGAACACTTGCGAATCTTTTAATTGTGTGATGCGTATGCATCGTGCAGGTGTTGCGTTATAACTGGGGGACATGCAGCTTAGGATCGAAGTATCTTGCTTAGCTGAACCGGTACGTGCGTTTATTCATAATTGTCGCTAAATTGTAGTCCTGTACCGACCGAAAACTCGGAAATCTTAATGATTTTAAAAGTAAATAATTGTTTCGACTGAATGAACCGCAGCGTCGTCGAGATCCGTGGGGTGGGCAAGTAAGATGCGGGGTTCACATGCTGTCGATGTAAGAGCTGCCACACAGCGAAGACGATTGTTCTGAATGGGTTTTTATTTCACGGTTTAGCAGCTGTTACTATCAAAAGATCGCCTTGCAGGTAACGGTACCTAATGAATTGGGAGGAACAATCATTGGTCGGGGCGGCGAGCGCATTCGACGCATCCGTGATGAATCGGGGGCACAAATTAAGATTGAGGAAGAGGGTCCGAACGGTGAACGAATAATAACAATTACCGGCACTCCGTCACAGATTGAAATGGCACAATTCCTACTTCAACAATGGTTTGTTGTTATTGATGGTTTTTTTTTGAATGTTTGCAGAATCATTCTCATAACTCTAATAGGGCAGTTGACAACGCTGAAAACATTTGTTCATCCCTGTAGAACATATAGTAACATCGAAATGCAGCCAATGTTCGGGTGTCATTTTACTAGGCTTACTTCTGCCACGATGCTTGTGCCCTGTTTGTAGTCACCGACTGTTGGACTTCGTGATCATTTTTTTTTTCTCATAAGTGGTGCCTTTGTTACATATGCAGTTAAGAACTGTTGTTTTAGTGTGCGCTCGTCAGCTGCTGGACGCAAATACCTCAAT